TATATATATATAATATATATATATATATATATATATATATATATATATATATATATAGTTTCTTCTTTAAATATTTTATATTTTAAATATATATATTAAATTTAAAATTTAAAATTGGTAATGAATTTTATAGTATGATTTAATATTTATTACTTAGAATGGATTCTATTTTAGTCTAATCCTAACATTAAAGCATTAAATAATTATTTAACCAAAGTTCATTGTCATTTTTGAATCATTCATTTGTCATTGCTTATGTAACAGGAGCGAGGGATCTTTGATTGATTTGAACCTTTAAAAGCCTTTTTATTCTACACTCAACACCAAACCAGAAGTGTTGAAACAAAATGGCTATTTTTCGTGATTTTTAACATATTTATGTGAATAAAAATTATATATATATATATATATATATATATATATATATATATATTTTTTTAGGACATGATAAGGAACAAATAGGATATGTTCGTAGATTTAACGTGTTTTACTTCTTTCTTTTTTTTTTTTTTTAATCATTTCACCCCAAACAAGGTGAGAATGCCACTAGTACGAGGTGGGTTACAGCAAGTGAAAGTGAGAGATTGAGGAAAGGCCAAAACATGAACGGGATTCAAGAAGATAGAAGATGGCGATTGACGTTGCTTGTAAATATTTTATGACTGTATTTATCAGGGAATCAAGTAAACGGAAGGGAATTCCACAGGTAGGAAGTGCTAGTAAAGAAACTGTTGGAGTAGAAGTGGTGGTTGCATTTAGATATTTTAACAGTAAAATGGTGGGATCTAAATGTCAAGTTAGCAGCACGTTGGGTCATGGTACCAAGGGGGGAAATGTTTGTTAGGGCAGTAGCCATGGAAATATTTGGGGAAAACATAGAAGGAAGCCACTGCACGCCGGTGAGAAAGTAACTGAAGTCGAGATGCCAAGTCAGTATCGATTACGTTACAGATCCTTCTTTGGATTTTGCCAAGAACCTCAAGATGAATAGCAGGAGCACCAGACCAGATATGGGGGCAATATTCAATGTACGGACGAATGGTAGATTTGTATATGTGCAAGATAGACTCTGACGAGTGTCACTGGACCGACACAGTGACCGAACTTTCATTGCCTTAGTTGCAGCTATTGATTCGATCTAGTCACTTCATTTCAAGTCAATTCAAAACGTGAGACCAAGAAGTCACAGTGTGTTGCTCTCTAGAAGGCTAGCATCAGTCATGCTGATGTCAAACAGAAAAAATTCTCTACGATAGTTAAATGACAGCAGTTTTTATTTAACCTTCATCAGAATTTAAATATTTAATTTTTAATGAAGCTTAATAAAAGCGAAACATGTTAAATCCATAAACGCTTCCTATTTTTCCTTATCCTATCATTCTGTCTGTCCTATATTTAATCCCAATTCATATATATATATATATATATATATATATATATATATATATATATATATATATATATAATATTATTCTTTTTTTCTCTTCTTTTTTTTACATCTTTAATGTATTAGACATTCGACGACATTCATATTTCTCTCACTTAAACCGTCTTTAACTCACCCCTCTAAAACTTCTTTCTGTTAAGTTTTAATCTCCCACCTTCTCTCGTCTGTTACCCCTCTCTTTAGCTCTAACATTCGTCCCACACTCTCATAATTACATTCCTCTAAATTCTATTTTTATTTCCGGAGTTGTTTTTCTGTTTTCTTTTTGAATTTGTAGGTCTGATGAATTCGATCGTATTTACGATTCCAATGGAATAAATTGACGATGGACGATTGGAATATATATATATTTATATATATATTTATATATATATATATATATATATATATATATATATATATATATTTTATATATATAAATTATATATATATATATATTAAAATCTATTATTCGTTTTTTAGACATAAAAATTGAAGCATTAAAAATCTATTCTTTACATAAATTGCTAAAACCCAATTACAGCCTCTTTCTCTTGACTTCCCTCTACCTCTTCTTTCTTTTTCGTTTTTCTTCTCTCCCTTCTCCCATCCTCTTTCAATATATCACTTCCGTTAAGTTAACCGTCTAAATAGGTCAAGGCCTGGTCACTCCTCCTCCCCTAATACAAAGTATGATTGAGAGAGATATGAAATTAATCCCTCCCTAAACTCTAGCACGCCTCTTTAACTACTCCTTTTACACTCTTTGTTAAATTACAAAAACTTACATTACCCATCAATTTTAATTTCATTTTTCGTTTCATTTCATTTTGGAAGTGCTGTCTGATGATCCGGCGTTCTTTAAAAGGGCTCTGGTGAAATAAATTATCATAATGGTACCTTAAAATGGGCTGTTTTTTTTTGTAAAAATAAAAATATCTATAAGAACACCGGATTTTATATCTTACTGTTCTTTTTTTTTTTTTTTTATTATATATATATATATATATATATATATATATATATATATATATATATATGGGAATGTAATGGATTCTACTGGAATTGGAACTCGGCTATCTGAGCTAATACCCTTGGAAAATTTATGAATCCTCTTCTTCTCCCTCCAGCTATGGGTAAATAGCAGGACAGACTGTGTTCTATAGCCTTTGATGGCAAATGGTCTAGGAGAAGGAAAACTCTGAATTCAAAACTTGCTGAGGGTCGTTTGGGGTCCTGGTGACACGTAGTGCACCAGGTCTCTGTATTCGGCCCTTCAAAAAGTGTGGGTGGTTCTGCACAAAACCTTCGCCACTATAATCAAATCACGTGTGCTGTTGTCTGGGCTGTAGGTTCCTAGGCTGACGGGATATATATATATATATATATATATATATATATATATATATATATATATATATATACACAGTGTGGGGGGAACAAATATTCGTACATACATAAATTTTTAATTTATTGTATTCCCAACTAATGAATAAATATACTAATTAGCTCTACATAGATGCATAATAACTAAATATGCATAGGAAACTGAAAAAAATGATTTAATAGAAATAGATCCCATTTTAATGGGTGAAAACAGTATTCGTACAATGTAAATTTCAGATTTTAAAACTTTTAAATTGCTTTAATATTCTACATTATTCAAATGAAATATTTAGAATGTTCCAGTAATGTTATCAGTGGTTCTTTTTAGTCTAAAATACAAACAGAACATTCGTTAATTGATATTTATGCAAGAAGTTTATCATCATGTTAAGAGGTAAAGAATTAACAAATTCGCAAAAAGAACTGGTTGTTAAGCTCTGGAAAGAAGGTAAAAGTTACAGGAAAATCTTACTTATTATAAAACGCAGATTGTGTGTGTGTGTGTGTGTGTGTGTGTGTGTGTGTGTGTGTGTGTGTGTGTGTGTGTGTGTGTGTGTGTACGTTTATATATTGGATCGGATTTCCTACATTTTCAACCGATTTCAACAAAACTTCACAGGACTACGTAAAATTACCTTGCAGTGGTTCTAACAGCGCCAAAAATTGGAAAAACACAATTGTTTTTGCCCGAAATGAATTTGAAAACACGATTAAGAGGCATCACGAGAATGAAAGGGGGACAACTATCGAGTTATACTTATTATAAAACCCAGGTTGTTTGTGTGTGTGTGTGTGTGTGTGTGTGTGTGTGTGTGTGTGTGTGTGTGTGTTCGTTTATTTATGGGATCGGATTTCCTACATTTTTTCAACCGATTTCAACAAAACTTCACTTTTCTTTTGGTAGGTAGTGTTTCTTATTGTCTTGCACACTTTTTTCTTTATTTTTACATTCAGAATGCTTTAAAAATTCCATTTACAAGACAATTGTTTATAATAAAATTCTATTCAATCGGTAGACTCTTAACGATTGAAAACAATGTTTTGTTTGAGTTTTGGTTTGACCAATTCGTCAAAAAAAAAAATAATAATTAAGACATACGTGTCCGTCAACCTTAAACAATAATCTTTGTCAATTTTATTTTTCAGTCTTTATGATGGTCGATACTTGATCTATCTCTTACTGTTACATTCCTGGGCAACGCCGGGCTCTACTGCTAGTCTCAGATTCCATTTACTACACTTAGTTCATTCATTGTAAGGTATAAAAAAAACTAAAAAATGTTGAAAACCAAAGAAGAACAGGTGCTCCACGGAATATTTCTTCATGGTCTTCGATGAAATTAATGCGTCAAATTAAATAAAATTCAATGGTTACTTGTCAAGAGTTGCAGGATGATTTGCTTTTATCAGGAATCTGTGTCACTAAACAGACAATAAGCAATGAAATTCATAGGAACAATCTAAAGTCACGCTTCCCTCGGAAAACTCCACTGCTATTGAAAAGACACAGAGATGTCAGGTTGAAATTCGTTTGTGAACATAGGGATAAAGAAAAATCGTATTGAGAAAGAGTATTATGGACAGACGAAACTGAAATTGAGTTTGAACGTAATTCTAAAAATCGTGTATGGAAGAAAGATAGCGATACCTTCAAACAAAAGAACACAGTTCCAACAGTGAAATCTGGTGTTGCCAGCATCATATATATATATATATATATATATATATATATATATATACGCAAAACAAAACAAAAAAAAACAAGAAACAAATGAAACATTTGAACTTAACTAACAAGAGCAGAAAATATCCACGTCAAGGATATTTCTTTGCACTTTTCCGCTGACAAATCCGCACAAGAAGAAAAAATTCATTATCGTCTTTAGTTTTTGCGTCTAATCTCTATCCTTAAATCATCTTTGCTTTTAAACGTAGATCAGATAAAATTCGCTAATAAAGAATAAAGACAATGTAATAACCCGTTTTAACCTATGTAGCCTTCGTATTGATTAGTAAATCAATTGAAATCAAATGCATTTTATGTGAACGTGGGTCTTTTGAACCTTGAGCGCCAAGAAGTCAGTAATAATATTGTGTTACTTGTGTTGAATATGTTTATATCTGTTATAAATAAAAACTCGAGCTTAACAGAACAGAAAATGATAAAGTCACTTTGAAAATGGTACAGGTATCACTGGAAAAATCAATAAGAGACATGCTGTATATGATGCAAGCGCACTCAGTCAGAGGAAATACTTCCTTCACATTGTCATCGTTTTTGCTTTCTTCTACTTTTCATTTTCTTGTCTTACTTTTTCTCTTCTTCCTCTTCTTCCTTTTCTTCTACTTCTCCCCCTTCCTTCTCCTGCTTCTTCTTTTTCTTCTTCTCTTTCCTTCTCTTTCTTCTTCTCATTCCTCCTTCTTCTCTTTCCTTCTTCTTCTCTTTCTTCTCTTCTTCTTCTTCTTCTCCTCCATTTTCTTATTTCCTTCTTTTTCATCTTATTCTCCTCCTCACCCCTTCTACTCTTTCCTTCTTCTTCTTCTTCTTCTTCTTCTTCTTTTTATTCTTCTCTTTCCTTCTTCTTCTTCCTCTTCTTCTTTTTCTTTTTAATCTTCTCTGTTCTTCTTCTTCCTTCTCCTCCTCCTTCTCCTCCTCCATCTTCTTATTTCCTTCTTCTTCATCTTATTCTCCTCCTCCTCCCCCTTCTACTCTTTCCTTCTTCTTCTTCTTCTTCTTCTTCTTCTTCTTCTTCTTTCTCCTCCTCCATCTTCTTATTTCCTTCTTCTTCATCTTATCCTCCTCCGCCTTCTCTTTTCCTTCTTCTTCTTTCTCCTCCTCCATCTTCTTATTTCCTTCTTCTTCATATTATCCTCCTCCGCCTTCTACTCTTTCCTTCTTCTTCTTCTTCTTCTTCTTTCTCCTCCTCCATCTTCTTATTTCCTTCTTCTTCATCTTATCCTCCTCCGCTTTCTACTCTTTTCTTCTTCTTCTTCTTCTTCATTGAATTTATTTTCTTCACCTTTCTTGTTTACAACGTGTCTCCTTTTTCTTTTCATTTTTCTTTTTTCTTTCTTAATGTTTTTGGTTTACGGCCATATCCCTTTGAAACACCGGTTCTCGTAAGATCACCAAAGTTAAGCAATATCGAGTGTGGTTAGTACTTAGATAAATAACTGCTGGAGAATACCAGGTGTTGTAAGCTTGGACGTGCCTGTGGTGTAAATGGATAACGGCTCAGAATTGATGCCGAGTTCGTCATATTCAGTTACGCACAAATACGCTTGGAAAAGGTCGGAATATACCTATTTTCTCCAAGCTATGGGTTAATTAGTGGCATTTGTATCAGTAAATCATTATTATCTCAAAAAGAATTCTTAAAATCCAAAATATTTTCTGGGTTTAAATAACTTTTAAAAGATTGATAAGCCGTAAAAAACAAATCTTAATATTTTTCTGTTTTCTTTAGTTTCTTCATGCTTTTTTTTACTTTATTTTTTCTTCTTTTTGTTTTTTTCATACTTCTAAATTGTTCTCTGATTCTTCCTTTCTTTTCTCCATTACTTTTTCTTTTTTCGTCTTTCTTTTTTTGCATTTAACTTCTTCATCTTCTTTGTTTTCAATCTGTCTGTTCTTTTTCGTTATTTCTTTCTCCTTTTAATTCGTTTTTAAAAAAATATTTTCCTTCTTTCTGTTTCTTCATACTCTGATTTTCTTCTCTACTGCCTCTTTTCTCTTTCTTTTCTTTTTCTCTATCTTTCTTCTTTTTGTGTTTCCTTCTCTTCATTTCCGTTTACCCTTTCTTTCTTTTCTTTCATCTTTTTATTGTCACATTCTCTATTGTCTTTGCTATTTTTCTTCGACTCATGAAAGCCAATAATAAATTTCTTCTTCTTCTTCGCCTTCTTCTTCTTCGCCTTCTCCTCCTCCTTCTTCTTCTCCAATTCCACTTCTTCTTCTTCTTCTTCTTCTTCTTCTTCTTCTTCTTCTTCTCCAATTCCACTTCTTCTTCTTCTTCTTCTTCTTCTTCTTCTTCTTCTTCTTCTTCTTCTTCTTCTTCTCTCACTCTTCATGCTCTTCATAATCCTCACTACCTATCAATTTTTCTTCCATTCATATTACAAACCTCACTCATCACTTTGACTGCACCCGTCTACCCCGAGACTTGTATTGGGTGATATTCTGCAAAAACGCGCACACACACCCATGCTAATATATGCATATACATCCACCTAACCACATACATACTCCCTTACATATACACTCTCATATTCTCCCTTACAAACTTATATTCTCTTTCAAACCTTATGTTCTCTCGCTCGTATGCTCTCCAGTTTTGCATTTATCTCTCTCTCTCTCTCTCTCTCTCACACACACATACACACACAAAATCGCTGAACATACTTTCATATTCTGTTTTTCTCTCAAACACTCTCCCAAATTCTCTCTCTCTCTCTCTCTCTCACACACACACACACACCAATACTTCCTCATATATCCTTGCATACAGACCTTCTTATGTTCTCTCTCTTACACACACGTGCATGCATGCACGCACACACACACACAAATTCTCTCTTACACTCACTTCCATACTCCGTCATATATCCTCGTATATTCTCTCTCTTACTCATCCTCTCATAAACACTTTTTCTCTCAGACACACTCTCATATTGTCTCTCTCTCTCTCACCCACACAAGCACACACTTTCACTCGCTCTCTTCACATATCATTGTATATTCTCTCGTTCTTGCGCATATACACACTCTCTTTCACACACCACACACACACACACACCACACACACACGCACATGTGTGCACAAATCACACACGATAGTAGGAAGAGTCAAAAGTAGCATCTTTTTTTTCACTGCTGTTTTTGCACCTTTTTAATTTAAAATATCTAATTCGGTTTTGACAAAGAATGTATGTTAAGTGTGCTTTGTTAATTAACTGTTGCCAAGGCTGACAATGGGAGCAATGACATTTTGCTCTTACTGCAATGTATTTATGGGAGAGTGATTTGCCCAGTTGCTTACTCTTTTATCCTTTCTTTTAAAGGCTAAAACCTTTTGGCCAAGATGTCAAGCCATGGACGGATTGAAAGAGGAACTGGGTTCGTAATTTTCCTAAAGGCTTTAGCGTGAAGTAAACATAATCTGGAAGCTGGAATCCTGTCTTCCCGCCAAAACTCTACACATATTTCTGTAGGTATATCGTAGAAGAATTACTACGAAATGAATGCCTCCTTTTTTTTATCATGTTGTCTCATAATGTGAGAATTGGCTGTTGGCCATGTAATAGTAGAAGGTGAACATCTCCATTTATAACCCATATTTTTTGTCTGAGCGGCAGTATGGTAAAATGCTGTCTGACATGAAAATACATATAATGCAGAAGAGTGTCTTTGATTTCCGCCATAAACATAAAATTATATCTATTGATATCCAACGCTTCTTTAGAAAATTGCTTTGTTTACGTTAAGACACGAACCTGAGCGGATATGAATGTTTCTAGAGCCGGAAAAAGATTTGAGTTTATAATGCATTATTCAACTTTGCTTGATTGGTGACGCACTCCGCAGATGAGTCGATATAAACACGTCGGATCTATCGACAGTTTCTTTTGCCATGGGGATGCCGGTTCGAATCCTGCTGGAGAGCGCATATTTTTCTTTAATTAGATTTCTTCAACATTCAGGACGAAAATAAATAAATATATTGTTTAATAAATAATTAAAATATGAGTATCCACTAAAGATAACGCTTAAGCAATAAAATCTGTCGGATTAATAAATAAAAAATCCATTATTCTTTACAAATTAGGATTTATTAAGCAAATATATCAAAAGATCTACACTCAAGGCATTAATAATTCCGTCATTTCAAGCACAAAAGAGGTTTTATTTATTTGCACTATTTACATTGTTCAGACTGTTGTCTTTATTTTCGTTGCCATATTCAAAATATTTCGGCTGTTGTACGGTCTCCCCAAAATTCACAAAGACGGTATTCTGCTCAGCCCAATTGTTAACTGCCAAGGCTCTCTGTGCCTCCAACCCGTGTCGCTTCCTTGTAGATATCATTGACCCATTAATAGGAAAGTCACCTTCATATGTCCGAAACTCCGCTCATTTCGTAGAAATAATCAAAGATGCCCCCCCCCCATCCAATCCAACCAGATAGTGAGAAAAATCCAAGGAAGTGCCTGTAATTTAATCACCCCTGACCTGGCATCTCAATTTCAGTCACTTTCACACCGACGGGGCTTCCTTCTAGCTTTTTCTACAAATATTTTCATTGCAATTGTTCTGACGATCTCCTTAGTGCCTCGACTGCATGAATTTAAGCGGATTACTAGACTGGCAATTAGGTCTCACCGTTTTACTTAGTTAAGCTTCCCACCCAGTTTAACGACTTCAATGTATCGGATTTATTAGGAATGACTTGAGTGTAGAAGGGAAACTGGATTTGTAGAATTTACAGCGTATATATAAATATATATAAATATAAGTATATTAAATAAAACCTGTATATATTTTTGAACTGATGTATTGTAATTATTTACACTATATACATAGTTCGGACTGTAGTCCTCATCTATGTTGTTATATTCACGATGTTTCGGCCGTTGTACGCTCCGGCCTTCTTCGGGTGATTCTTATATTCTCTTATTCTTATAAGAGAATTTAACAAAATAAGAGTGAATTAAATTCTCTTAGAATATAAGAATATGAGATTACATTAAAAGATGTAATCTCATATTCCTATATTCTAAGAGAATTTAATTCACTCTTATTTTGTTAAATTCTCTTATTCCCTTTTAATTTCATTTTGTTCTCTTATATTTTCGTATTCCTTTTAATTTAATCTTATTCTCTTATATTCTTAAATTCTCTTAATCTCTTCTAATTATTTATTATTCTCTTATAGTCTTATATTCTCTTATCCCTTTTTTATTTCCTTTTCTTCTTTTATATTACTACATTCTCTTATTCATTTTATAATTTATTCTTACTCTCTAATATTCTTATATACTCTTAATCCTTTCTTATTCTTTATTATCTTATATTTTTATTTTTTCCTTTAATGTTATCATATTCTCTTAATTTCTTGTCTTCTCTTCTTGTCTTATAATTCCTTTATTATGTTTTTATGTAATCATTCCCTTTTTCTTCTTATAATTTTATGTCTCATTCCTTATATTCCTTTATTCTCTTTAAATTGTATCTTATTCTTATATTCGTATATTCTCTTATAATTTTATATCTTATTTTCAAATTTTCACCAAGACGATTAAAAGAATACTGACAAATTTCTTATTTGATTTGGGGGTGAAAATTAATTACAATGCCAGAGAATTTCTTTTGAGTGTGTGCCCTAAAATAAAGAAAACAAACAAATCATTTGAGTTGAAACGTCAGTTTAAAATAAACTTCTGTAAAACACCTAACTATTTTGCAATTCTACTCTTTTGTGATGGATAATGGCTATAATAGTAGTTAGGAAAATTACCAACATAATAATTACTACCAATTACTCCAAGAAATCGATGTCTATGCATGTTTATAGTACAGAGGGGAAGGGGGAATAAATTAGTATCATTTTGCATATGCATTGTATTACTAAAACGTTATTTTTGTGGATACCCATATTTAAGTAGACGCTCCGTTTATTTATTATTAGTATATTTATTAATTTTCGTCCACTGGCCTAAATATTAACGATGTCTTATTAAAGAGAAATATGTGCTCCCTGGCAGGATTCGAACCTGTGCCATCCCTTGGCAAATACTCGCGTATCGTGTGACCTTTGAAGACCTAATTTTGAAGCTAATTTGACTACAGTAAATGGATATATAGTTTTGGCCAACGGCGTAGTCATGGCTATCAGTACATACGCTAATTTTATATCTCGTGTATGATGCTACCCTCTTAAAATTAGCTTCAAAATTAGGTCTTCAAAAGTTGCATGATACGCAAATATATGCGGTATACAGCTCATATATAATATTACACATGTACATACATACACACAAATATTTTTTTTTATGTATGAATACTGTATATGCAGCGTATGTATTGACTCGCACATGCACACATATTCACTCAGACTCGCTAGAAAAAAAAACTTCACTGTTAATAACTCATTTCTCGAATTGCCCGCCTTAAAACTCAAATTGCCTCCCTCCTGTGAGACGTGTGCCTCGTTTTGGGAACCACGGCTCTAGTCTAAATGCTAGAAGTGGCCGACGGAGATGGAAAAACACTAATGAAAGAAAGTGTTTATCTGAACGTAGAGATTCATGTAGACACGTTTACACTTCTTTCGATAACATCTATTTAATCGCCTTTATTTATTTAAAAATAGAAAATTTATTAGAAATTTGAAAGTATATACACTAATCTGCCGCAGTTAACAAAGAAAAAACGAAAGGATGAAGAGAAAATAGAGAGATTAAAAATGTAGATATTACAAAGAGGGTGAGTGAGCGTGAGGAAGAGTGTGATTGACAACCTGAAAATATATACATGACAACAGAGAGAGTGGTTATAGGAATGGGTGCGTGTGTTTATGTGAGGGAGAGAGAAAGAGAGAGAGAGAGAGAGAGAGAGAGAGAGAGAGAGAGAGAGAGAGAAAGAAAATGAAATTGTAAACTT